TTTGTAGATGGCTTCTTTCTTATTGAGGTAACTGGCCCTATCCTTAGAGTGTACTAGCTGGGTGCGTAAAGTAGGCCATCGGTTTGTGCGTGTGTTCCAGTTTATACGGAAGGATCTATTAAGCAATCAATCTAGAATCCAGGCGCCATTGATAAAGAGGGGGGTTTTGGCAGATTTGAATAATGCATAATGTGAAAATTTCAGCGGCCTCAGCGAGGCTCAGGTGGTTCGAGCACCGGATGTACTGAAGCCGTTTCCGTACTGACATAGGTTTAGATCCCCACCGCCGGGTTATTCACAAATAGCTGGTTTTCAAAGCTGAGCCGCCACCTCTTCTGCTCTCCGTCCGCGTGTACATCGGTTGACCTATTGCGCCCGGTATAAACTGACTTTTTAATCTTTTTTTGTTTATACTAACTACGACAATGCGATCATTAGCGCACGGCACCAGCACCCATTTGAAGAGCGAACCGTCACGGTGTTGGTAATTGCAGTGTTCGGCCATTATGCACTGTTTGTGATTTCCCGGTGTTATGTGGTTTAATGTGCATAATTGTATTCGCTGTGAATGGAGGACGTTTTGCCTGAAAATGTTGGAACGATCTTTCCCAAATAAAGCGCATTTTTCTTTCTATCAAATGAGTTATTAGAGGGTCAAGCGTGTGAGTTTAATGGACTATTTAATCAGTTGTTTTTGTCCTCAAGTTACCCAGGCAATTTGTGCACTAAGTCTCGCAAAAGACCCTAGCATGTTGCCCAAGGACTGCGTGTTTAAACTACGAAAAATAAAGAGCTGTAGTGGGGAGGAACCCATGACATATTGCACTAAAACAAACTCTAGGTAATTACCACCCAAACAACAGAAAATATTTTCTGCATCCTAACGTCAAAAGAGGAAATATGGACGAGAGACGCGTGATGACAAGATGGATGATGTTGCAGCTGCGGAGAGCGAGGAAAGGAATGAGGAAATACGTCTAAATGAAGGGTTTATGAAGGAAAACGGAAAGACGGACAGAAGAGGATGAAGAGAGGAGTTGGATGGAAAGATGGACGGGAGAGGCATGATGGCACGGAGAATAATGATGCAGCTGCTGGGTATGATAAAAAGGGGGAGGGAGAAAATGAGTCGAGAGGAAAATGTGGGGAAAGATGATGAGAGATAAGAAGAAGAAGAAGAAGAAGAAGAAGAAGAAGAAGAGGGGACAGAAAGGAGAGGGAGCATGTAGGGGGAAAGTGAATAAGGGAGAGACGTGGGGGCACGAAGGATGGAGTTGCAGAAGAGAAGAAGGAAAATGAGAAAGGGGGGGGGCAGAGGAGGAGAGATTAGAATAAACAGGAATTATCAGAAGATAAAGCGTGTGAGTTAAACGGATTAGTCAATCAGTTCTTGTGCCCTCGATTTCCTTAGGGATTTTGCCCGCCAAATCTCCTCAAAGAGTGCAGCATGTTGCTCAAGTATGTGTTTTTAAACTGCAAAAACCAAATAGGGAGGAAGAGCCGTAGTGGGGACCCATGAAATACTGCAAGATGGATGATGTTGCAGCTACTCACTACGATGAGCAGAAGAAGAAAATGAGCCGGGAGAAAAAGGGAGGGAGAGCTTATGAGAGAAAAGAGGAAGAGGGCACAGAGAAGGGAAGAGAGGTGAGTATGTAGAGAGAAAGTGGATACAGCGGTTAAGGGAAAGAGGAAAAACGGATGGCGCGAAGAACCATGTTGCAGCTGATGAATATGATGCAAAGGGAGGAAAAAATGAGCGGAGAAGAAGATGGAGAGATTATGAGAGAAATGAGAAAGAGGGGGCGAAAAGGTCAGGTTAACACGTAGAAAGAAAT